AAAAAAAAAATAAGAAATTCAGGTCTGATAATGCTCTAGAACTTAAACTTGTAGATTTCTTTGCATCAAAGAGAGTTATTCACCAATTTTATTGTGTTGAAAGACCAAATTCAATTGTTGAAAGAAAACATCTACACCTTCTCAATGTGGCTAGAGCATTGTTCTTCCAATCACAAGTGTCTATACAATTCTGGGGAGAATGTGTACTCACATCAGCATTTTTTATCAACAGAACACCCTCTTCCATTCTACACAATAAAACTCCTTTTTCCCTGCTTTACGATTTGAATGTGGAATACAAACATCTTAGAGTCTATGGATGCTTATGTTTGCCTCTACTTTAACTTCTCATCAATCAAAATATCATCCAGGAGCCAAACCCTGTGTGTTTGTTGGCTATCCTTCTGGCATAAAGGGTTATAAACTGTCTGATATTCTATCCAAATCCTTTTTTCATTTCTAGAGATGTATTTCATGAACACCTCTTCCCCTTCCATTCCACATCCTTTGTAGCATTATTGGTTAATGTTGATGATATTATCATCACTGGCTCTGATTATAAGGCTATGAACTCCTTGAAGGCCTTTCTCCATAGTCAGTAAACAACCTTTCTCCATAGTAAATAAACTAAGTACCTTGGCCAGTTGAAGTACTTCATTGGACTGGAGATTCCTTGCTCACAAAAAGGGATATTAATTTCACAGCGTCACTATACACTTCAACTTCTTGAGGACGCTGGCTTTTTAGCTTGTAAGCCAGTTATACTGCCTATCGATACCAAGGTTCGTTTATGTTCATTTGAAGGAGAAGTTCTTGTTGATGCATCTCAATATAGAAGATTAGTAAGTCGTTTGCTCTACTTGACAATCTCGAGGCCTGACATTACCTTTCACAAGTTGAGTTAGTTTCTTTTTGCACCTAGGAAACCTCATCTTGACGTTGCTCATCATCTTTTAAAATACTGGCCTTCTATTTTTAGCCCATCCTCTTTCCAGCTTCAAGCCTTTGCTGATGCTGATTGGGGTTCTTGCCTTGATACCAGAAAATTAATTACAGGGTTCTATGTCTTCCTTGGTGATTCTTTGGTATCTTGGAAACCAAAGAAACAAAGCATTCTATCTTAATCTTCGGCTGAAGCGGAATATCGAGCCTTGGCTTCAACTACCAGTGAGCTTATTTGGATTCAGCAATTGCTTCATGAACTTCATATCTCTTCTTTTGCACCTACTTTAATATTTTATGACAATCAAGCCGCCATACACATCGCTACCAATCCTATATTCCATGAGAGAATCAAGCTTATAGAACTGGATTGCCACTTCATTCGAGACAAGACCACTGATGGCTTTGTCAAGTTACTTCCTGTTCACACTTTCCATCAACTAGCTAACATGTTCATTAAGCCCTTGCCTGATGTCCAAGATGGCCATTATTAGTCCCTATTGTCTATCTTGACGGGGCGTAATAGAATATAGCAGCAAGCTGGAAGCTAACAAAATCAATTACACAGCTGGACTTTAGTTGGGTAGTTAGTCATCCATGTGACAATTTTTTATTGAGTCTTGTAATTAGTTTGTTAGTGAATTGCCTGTTTATACCACCATGTAAAGTTCATTTTCTCTTGAATAAGATCAATCAGATTCTTTTCTTTTCTCTCAATATCATTCTGACGTTAGCCTCTTTGTCATGAAGAACAGGGAAAACAGAAGGATGACCAAATGAACTTAATTTTCCCTATTCCTCACCGACACAAAGTTCGTACTTACTATTTTTGAATGTAGCAATTGAACAACAGCCATAACAAATTTCAAAAATTTTCATTTCATTATGGTGAAGATGGTCTTTTCCTTCAAAAGGACAGTTTTTCCCATTTTTCTCTTCAATTAATTCTAAAGAGCCTTGTAATTAAAACTGTATTCTAGCTATCGAGACATTTTAATTACGACCTTTTAACTCTATCAAGATCAAACTCACAGTTATTGAATACTGATCCCACCTTTGAATCCAACCAATCCAAAAATACTAAGGCTGCGGTTGATTTGGCGTTTTCAGACCATTTTTCGTTTTCCGTTTTCCAAAATGCGTTCGGTTCATCGTTTTCGAAAATGCATTTATGAGGTAAAATTTATAACTGAAAATGTAAAACGACTTTTTATCATTTTGAGCATTTTCAATTATAAATTCCCAAAATATGAAATACGCCCAAAATGCACCGTTTTTAGGGAAAACTAAAAATCGTTTTGAATAAAACTTCACAAATCACACCCTGACATAGCCATTCTAGCAAAGCACCACAGAAGAATCCATAATGTTGTCTACGGATAATCATTATGGTTCGGAAGCATCGAAGTTGATAACATGAATTGTGAAATATTTGTGCAGATTCTCGATGTGGGACAAAATATACAATGTCCAATTCGCCCTTGGATTTAATAAGTAAAAAAAAAAAGTAAAAATAAATTAGGGAAAATATTAAAGTAATGTCATACGTGGCTGGCCCTTAACTGCCCAAACTAAACTCATGGGTCGTGGGGAATTTTTTACCCATTTGATTTGCCGCTGATTTGTAGGACCCAACAAATTTGTTCTTCCAAAATCCGCCATGGCTTCATCTTCAAAGAAACGGGCAAGGACAATCTCTGCCATTGCTTCTCGCATTTATTTCCTTGTAATTATTCTGCAGCTTCCACTTTTCAGGTAATTTCTTTATTCAAATTTACACGGTTACTTTATTATAGAAAAAAATAGTAGTTATTAATTGATTTTAATGTTACTTGTTGTTCAACTGGGTTTTCTTATCTGCTGAGATAGCCAGAGTGAATATGTGCTAGATTTTTATTTTTTTATTTTTCTTTTGTAGAATGTGGATAAAATTGACAGAGATCCTGATTTATTTTGCCGAGAACATTATTGAATTGTTATATTATTACTTTTACCATTTTCATTTGGTCAATACCTATAAGCATCGTATTTTTTAGGAACTTCACCAATTTCCAGATTTATGCCAAGATCCTCTATGAAAAAATAATAAATATGGAAGATTAACAACGCAAGGATTTAACTGGAACTCAAATTCGGACAAAAATGGCGGGCTATGAAGATTGATGTTTTCGACTATATGAAATATTGTTATAGTATATAGTATCTCTCACATCAAAACCCCCAATTGTTATCCAAGAACACTCACTCAAGTGTTTAACTCGTTCAAACTATTCGACTCTTTGAAAAATCCTCAAAGAAAGCTTTTGAAGTTTTCTCCCTTTCCTGGTGTGTCTTTGGCAATTTGTAAGCGCCTCTATTTATAGTGCTTCTTGCTCGACAATCTGCACCATTTTTGCATGCAAATCTTATCAAAATCAACAAAGGATCATAATAGACTGCATGCAATACACAAAATTCTTCAAATCATGGTAGAACATTATTCCTACTATTCCAAGCCACTATAGATTGTCAACTTTTGGTGCTCAACATTAAATGCTTTCATGGTTTCACATGAGCCAATTTCCCAACAATATTTTCTTTATTAATGAAAGATTAAAAATGAAGATTTTCATTTGTACATTTATGGGAGGTTTAGTAGGTAAAGTTAGACAGTAATAGATGGTATTAAGAAGGAAAGATAAGTTAATTTTTTTTATTATAACGTCAAGTCCTCTTCCATGCACATAGAGAATTGAGGGATAAGAGAAGGGAATTCTTTGAATTTGTACATAAGTTGTTTGGGTAATAAAAATGGTTGCATTCCCGTTTAAGTTTCCTTTCTTTGCATAAAATGAATGCATCTTAGTACGTAATTAAAGTTTTGTGGCTGCAGATAAGTTTTGAGTCATTTAGGATTAAAATAAACACATTCTGAATGCTGTAAACCTTTTTGACATGGCTCAAGCTCGATTGAATTGCACATAGTACAAATCAACCAAATTTCTCGAGCCCGTATAGCCAATTAAAGCTCTTTTAGAAGAAAATAAAAGAGAAAAAATTTGAGCAGTTCTTAAAGTTTGCTTATGATATCAACTTAAACAACTCCAATCATAACTGCAAATAGCTTATTCAAAATCCTCCATTCTTGTATTCAAATATGATATGAGTGTTTAGATTTTTACTCCTGTATTCGATTATTTTCATTCATGAGAGTCTGCTAAAGTATTTATCGATGGTATACAGATTTCCATGTAGAATTGGTATGTGTAAAACTCCTATAGAGGTGGCATTATCTCACTTGATAGCAAGTGAAGTTTTTCCAGATGTTGCAGTGAAGGCCTTTCTGTATCCAGGAGCCATAGCAAAAGCTATAATTAGTAATACAGCGATTCCAAGCTACGACGACTTGCTAAATTTCTTGAAGTTCTCATATATGGAGGCAGCATCTGCTGCAACTGATCTCAAAAACTTGGAGGTTTGTAGTATGAGGATTATTTCTCTATCCCATGTAATGTTCGACTCATTCTGCATCCTGATAGGTAGCAACAAGAAGAGAATGAGAAAATGGTTTAGTTTTCTAACACTTGTTGATCTTCTGATAGAATTCCAATGGCTATGGGGAGTATCAAAATGCACAAAATTTATAAATTTGAATTGACAACCTGATCGATATAACCCACAAATGAAAACTAGGGACCGTTTCAATTATGGGACTCCAAAAACTTGGTACTCTATATCCATAATTTTTTAATCCATTCGGCTTATTGACAATTTCTTGGTTTGTGTCAGGTTCTCGTGGGAAGCTACCTGTGTGTAGCAGGAGCATTTCTAGGTCTGATTAGACCAGGAAGAGCAAGCCTTTTTGGTGTACTTCTTGTTTTGTGGGGCATCGCTCGTGAACTCGTTCTTCAGAAGCATGTTGCAACTGAAGACCTCAAAAAAACTGTCTCTATATATGCCACAATGTGGATCCCAGTGCTGTCTGCATTCTTTTCTGTAAGAGGGGATGTGAGAAAGCTCATCAGAAGTTGCAAAGCCAAGCGCATTCCTAAACAGTTACGGATGTACTCGAAAGCAAAGTTTAAATGAATTTCTGGACAAACTAGTCAAGGAATGTCACACGTGGCTATGTAATAGTTTTCTGAATTTTGTTATTTGCACTGATGTGCTAAATTGATTTATAAAGGTAACTAAGCATGTGATATGTTTGGGGCCTTTTGTTCTCTCTTTCTTGTAAAAAAATTTCCTTATGCAGCTACCTTAAGCTTGCTTGAACCTATTTAAATTATATTTTGGAAGTATGTTGTTTGACTAGAAAAATATTTAAATGAAGTTGACCTAAGTTAATTTCCTCAAGAAGCTCTTCTATAAGAAGTACAACCAAAAGTAGATGATCTGTCTAACGAACTCATTAGGTCAATTTCATCTAAAAGGTTTTCCAACCTAACAAAAAACTTCCACAAAATTATTCAAATATGCTCAAAAGAAATTTTTGACTTTTCAAAAGTCATACCAAATGATCTCTTAATCGCCCAAAACTTAAAAGCTAAAGAGGATGTTTAGTTTGCTAATTTCAATTTCGTAAAACACTCGAAACTTGTTCGGTTTGTTATTTTTTAAAATGTGTTTTTTAAAATAAGATTGATTTTGATTTTTGATTTTATAATTTAATAATATGTAGTGGTTAAAAAGTTGATAAAAGGTTTGTGTCCTATAAAATGTGTGGTTGAAAAATAAATTTGGGAAAAAAAATGAATTTTGAAAAATAGGTATAAAACATATTCTGAATTTATAGAATGAAACTCAAAATATATGTTTTGAATATTTTCAGACCAGTCTTCACTCAAAACAAAGGAAATAAAAATAATTCAATGCTCCTTCTTTGAATTCGGAGACGATAAAAATTCATGGATAATTGCAATGGGACTCTCGCGAAACTCTTCGTATAGATTCTATTTGCATCAAACCTGAACTTTCCAATTTATTTCAATTTGATCCATGCTC